CATTGCCGCATTATTATTTATTCTTTTTATATCCCCATATAATATTCATTTCATCATCTCTACATACAACTCTCTATATTTCATATTTCAATATTTCATATAATTCTATTTTTCATCTTATTTTCGCATATACTATTTATCATTATAATATTCCCTATTTCCCAATTTCTACAAAATATCGATTTGTCCATAGTACTTTGCTTATTTATTTATACTTGTAACTCCTATAAATCTACTTGAAAATAAATCAACCTTTTTTGTTTATATAAATTTATCATTATTCTGTACATTTGTTCCTAATAAATTATTTAATTATCAAATTTATCTCAAGATATGCTTATTTATTAATTATCCTTCTATTTACAAAACTTATATCTTATAATACCAAATTCGTGTCATAATATTGCATTATTTAAATTATTTACAATGTTTTTGTTGATTAGAGTTACTTCTGAACCTGTATCTATAATAATAACTTGTATACTGAATCTTGTATGTACCCTTCAATAAACTTTAAAGTATTAGTGTTATTGTTTTTATTTAATTCCCCAGTATCTCTAATAAACTCCCTTGGATGTTCATACTTTGATAAGTAGACAATATTATGCACATAGGAGCGGTCTAAGCAAAATTTCTCCCTTCTACATCAACACTTGCTTCCCCCCTATTCTCCTCTGTTCTAACTACATTCACCTGTCTTCTCTCCTCATTTTCCCCCCTATTATATCTTGGATTCCCTTCTCTGTAAACTTCCCTATTTCTCGTCTCCTGTGGATAATTTCCCTGGTTCTGTCTCCAATTATTGCCTCTGTCATTCCCTTGTCTCCAGTTATTCTCTCTATCATTGTTTGGATTCCCTTGTCTACGTTCCCAGTTATATCGTCCGATATCTCTCCTGACATTGTTCAAATTCTCTCCCCTATTTGTAAAATCCCTGCTTCTATTTTGTCTCTCAAATTCTCTTTCCCTATAATTATTCCCTCGATTCACATATCCCTGTCTATTTGCTGTGTTATTCCTATATGTCACTTGCTCTTGTCCATTTCGATTCTGCGTCCCTACACTCCTCTCAATCCTCTGAAGATATCCTGTCAAACTTTCCATCGTCTTTATATTGTGGAGAGCTATTGTTTCTGCCATGTTATGGTTATATTGCCTGGCAATGTATAGGACAATCTCCTCTTCTCGCATAGCCGGTTCTAAATATTGTGCTGTCTGGAATAACTGCATTGCGTACAGATTGTAGTTGGTACTTTTTTCATAATTGAATTTCCCAAAATACAACCGCTCCCTGAAACTAGCCTGTTGGTTTTCTCCCCAAAAATAGTTAATAAACTTGGCCTCAAATTCCTGCACATTATTTATGGAATTTTCATTATTGCAAAACCATAATAATGGCATGCCCACTAACATGTTTCGAATATTCAATTTCATTTCTATTGGATCCCTTACATTCTTTACCTTGTTTTTGATGATATCTACAAATATTCTAGGATGTAAGTGATTCAGGTTTCCATCAAACTTTATTCCCCCATCATTATAACTTGGCACCACAGTACTCACTACTCTTGTTTGTCCTAGATTTGATTCCAAACGCTGAATCTCCTCACTTGCATTTTTAAATTTCTCTCTCAATTCCTCAACTTGTCCCTGTAATACTCTATCTCCCTTTTCCGCCTGATTTGCATGCATACCCATTTCCAGTTCCAAATTCTGCAATCCCTTCTTTATATTATTTTTTATAATGGTAATTTTTTCCTCATAATCCTGAGTTTGCCTTTTAACACTTTCTACCTCCCTAACAATCTCTTTATTCTGCTTATTAACTTCTTTGTTTATTTCCATTGGTAAATTCTCTTTAATGGCTGTTCCCAACTCTACAAATCTGCTCCCAATTTCCTGTCCTATTTCCGCTCTAATTATGGCCTTTTCTCTGGATATCTCCTCCTGTACATTCCTCTTAAAATTCTCACTTTCTCCTCTGACCTGTTCTACTTTCTCTTCTAAACCTTGGGTAATTTGTAGCATCTCTTCCCTGACTATCTTCACTTCTTCTTTGATTTCTTCCCTCATTTTAATTAACTCTTCCCTAAGTTCTCCTTTAATATTATTTTCCATTTTGTTCATATCCCCCCTAATATTGTTAATATTACTATCCATTTTGTGCATATCTCCCCTAATATTATGATCCATCTGTTGTAACATCCGCATTATTTGCCTCATATCCATCTGTGTCATCCCTGACTCTCCAACATCTCCTTCCCTACGTCTCTCCTCCTGCACTCTACATTCATCCACACTTTCATCACGTCTATCTCTCACTGTCTCATCCAACTCCTCTCTCAAACTATCTGTTAGACTTCCCTCTCTATCACCTTGTCCTGCTTCTTGTCTGCCTTGCTCTAAATATTGTACTACAAATTCTCCTGATCCTCCTCTGCTTTCTTCATCTACCTGTATATCCTGTTCCTGTTCTAACACCTGTTCTCCTTTACTCTCTTTCGGTACGACTTCTTTTCCATTTCTTAAAGTCATTCGTTCTGCCATTTTATCCTAATATCTATTTATTCTCAAATTTAACTTTAAGTGCCCCAGAATCTCTGCAACTCTAATCACACCAATTTATTTTTACTCTAATCTGTGTAATATTAATAAATCTGCTTAAAAAACACCCTTATTTCTGTTTTCCCAGAGGCTCCACGTTGTTAGCGCCAATTGTAATTGTTTTGTTTTTATTATTTTTATGTTTTATTGTTAATAAATATAATTTTAATTGAATTGAAGTGAATTTTAAAAGTATGTAGTTCGTTGTTAATATACTATACCTCGGCTAGCTCAATTATTTGTTCTAAGCAATCTGTCACTGTGTGACGTCAACTCTGTAGTCTCCTGGTAGAGTTCAAAAAGAAATTAAACCAAAATTTACTTTATATTTTTGATAAATTAACCCAAATGAAGCACGTTATTTATTAATATTGAACAAATTTAATATAAACAATAAAATTCGTCTGCAACTTGGGTTGCCTTTAAAAATTTACAAAAATAGGAAACGTGTAAACCTTAATGTGTCGTGAAAATAGAATTTGATTACAAAATGTGGAAACTCTCTACAATTACCTTAAATCTAAATGACTATTGCAACTTTATAAAGTGTTTAAATGAAATATAAAGAAAAGAAAACTGAACACTTTATGCCGCTGACTTATAACTAGCATTAAAATATAATCAAAATTTCAAATGATCCCCAAAATTATTATCCAAACTCACTTTCAAACAGTTCTGATTTTTTTTTTTTTTTAAAGAAAACTAACTACTCGCAAATTAATCGGTGAAACTGGAATATCTATCCTCTCTTCGGAAGTTAAAGGTACGTACTATTATATTTTTATTTTAATGATCATTAATATTTCAATTTTTAAGGCCTATCGCAATTAGTTAATTCATGAATTTTTACTTTTTCAATCTAAATGACATTTCTGCACTCCAATTATAATTTATAAGTCAAAATTTCTCTTACTCTCTGGAACAAATTCTGGATATCTCTATTTGAAAATGTGGAAAAACTAAATTATAATTAAACGATTTTAAAGCACTCCCGGACTATTCCACCTTTTTAGGGCTCTTCCTCCAAAATTTTCGTCGCCTCCAACAACCTATTCTTCCTTGTTCACCGCCATAGCTAGCACCAACCACCAAAATTATTCGTTGCTAACAGCAACCCACTTTCTTTTTTCATTCCGTCTTCTATTTTATTCAACCATAAAACTGTCCTGTTTTGACATATTTGTCAAACCACATTAATTTCTCATAAGCACTTTAATCACATCTAATTTGGGAATTTATAAAAAAAAATTCAGATATAAAACTTAACAATACTAATATAATTTATTCTTTTCATCTCCACATCATTGTAATTTATTTAACAAAACCCCTATTAATTTAGTTCCCACAGACTTTTGACAGTTTATTTTTCTGACGTTTATTTTTAAAATTTCTATGTTTAAATAATTTTTTAAGAATTCTTCTTTTTTATTCCTTTTAAGGTTTAGACGATTCACCTATACACTAGGCAACTATACTATTCAGAAATTATTAACACTATACCAGGTAAGTCAAAATTAATTTATTTAGCAATTTACTAATCTTTTCTCCCTTTTATTTCAGAGTCGACCCCACATTGTGATGGCTTCATGAAATTCATGAACAACAAACTCATATAAAAATCCCTTTAAGTTATATCCTCTTTGACATATTGAAATCATTTCAATATATATATATACATCATCATTTGTGCTAATTTCTGGCGATTCCGTTTCTAGCGTCGTTTGTTCTTCTTCTGCATAGAGCATATATTTTAATTTGCATTAGCTATTATGAAGATTTATATTACGTTTTCTGTATTTTTAAATTTTAAATATTATTTTTAAAATTGAATATAGTAACTTTATTATTTATTTATTATTTTGTTCATTTTGCCATTTTTTTTACAGTCATGGATTTACAAAGTTTATTTATTTATTTTAACAATTTTTTGTATGTACATTCGAAACTACAATTAAATTTCAAAGAACTATCGAGCATTTTAGACTAAAATAAACAAATCTGCTAAGTAAAAAATATTTTTGATATTTCAAATCACTAAAATTCACAAGCTGAAACAGTTTTTGCTTACTTTGTCATTATCAAGCGTTTTTAAACACGCCTCCATTTATTAATTATTGATTTTATTTTATTTGGCTGTTCCGCCCTGTATGCAGTAACTTATCATACTTCTTGTATTGCCTTTTCAGTTCCTTTTTTGTCTATATTTTAAAATTAAATTTTCCATGCCGCCCTTCCCTTACACTAATCTGTTTGAAAAAAAAAATGCGCCATGAACTAACCATATTCAGAAACCCCAGCTCAAAAATCTTCTGACTAATCGTTTCTTGTATCAGACACAGACAATATTGTTCGTAACTAATAACCATTATCGATAAACTGACAAACAACCAACTTACCAATTATGGTGTGAACGCGAACAGATAGTTGGGTCCTCAATACTATGGAGTTCTTTTTGCTGAAACAAAAAAAAACTTATTAGCAATCTTACTTGTCTATCTCCACCAACTCATTAACCCACATACCAGAATAATATGACTTTAAATTACGCGCTATACCGTATTACCTACAAAACATATATAAATAATTTTAAATTAAGAACGTTGATCATGTGAACAACCAACAACTATTAATTAAAGTTGCCTGGTTTATAAAATTAATATATTAGTTACAAAATGTAAACAAATTAAAATAATCAGGAAATCCCATTATTGTTTGTATTTTTTGAAGAAAAATCTTACAGATTCCTCAAGAGAGCAATTCCTCAATAATTTCTCTCATACCAGGAAACCATGGTTGATTTTATATTACAACTAAACAAAACAAGGGGTTAATACTGTGGATAAATTATGTTCATCATATAATTTAATGAATATTGGCGATATAAAAGCTTATACATTCTGCTGCAAAATCTGGAAGATTACTAAAGCGGAGACATTTTCTCAAATACCTTGCCCAAACACAAATCATAACATTTCTACGTGATATAACCGAGTTTCTGTTCAAGATGTTTCTGAAGCAATCAGTACCTCATTAAGAAGACGAAAATCCTGCTAAACGTGGTAGATACTGCAACTGTTATAGTGAAAAAATTAAGTCGTACACCTCTATGAACCTCTATGAAGTGTACAAAATGTAGTGCATTCACTTGTAAACGATATTATAAATCTAACATTGCATGTACAAATTGTAAATATTAATTAATAATAATTAATATAAATTAATAAATCTTTTTTTGTTTTTTAATAAAATAAATAACGATACAATTATCAATAACTAAAACAGTGTCGAAAATAATAAGGAACTATATGGTAGCAAATTGCTGCCACGCATCCAATATTGTAATGTTTTAAGGCGCGCACGGATGAAGGTTCAAGAAATTCGCAGCCGAAATATATTCCGACGATTTTATAACCAAAAAATCACGACGTGTATTAATGCGAACATTAAGACAAATGAACATTAAATATATAAAAAGAAGTATGAACAGTATTCTCATGTAAAGAGAAGATATTATTTTGTGTCGATATTACCTAAAAAAAATCCGATATTGTATTTCAAGCGCGTTTCTATTGACTGTTTTAGACAGAACACATGGTTTATACAAGAGCAATCAGTAAGAAAGTCACTCTTATCGTTAACGTCTTCCCAACAATCTTCAGTTTGGCTAATAATTATCTTTCCCTGTATAATACAGACTGCGTTAGTTACAATAAGCTCTAGGAGTTCTTACAATCCTTTCTCTCGTCTTGTATAGATCGCTAATATATGCTCTTCAACTATCAAGAATAAAATAAAGGTAGTTATTTTAGTTTCTTCGCGTTAGGAGTTATATTACGAACGAAATGTTGTTGCCAGAATGGGAAGAGACAAAGAACTTTGGACCACCATTTAAAGAAGAAAGACAGCATATTTGGTGCACATACTTAGAAATGAGAAGTACGAGTTGTTGCAGCTGATTATGAAGGGTAACCTCGAAAGAGGTCCGAGTAAACGACAAATATCCTGATTGAAAAATATCTCTCTGGGCTAGAGAAGTGGCTATACCGCTCTAAAGAGATCTAAAGAGGTCGAAATACGTATAAGCAGCTTGCCGTTGCTCTGTATTGAAACAAAAATCTAGTATCATCTTTATATTTTATTTCTTTACTCCGTTTGGAGTACCAGAAATTGAATTCACTACGAATTTTGACCATGATAAACGGCATGTGGAATGCAATATTAGATTCCCTTGCCGAGTTATTTATCAAGTTGTTTGCTTTGCAAGTTTTAAAAATACAGTGGTCAAGATTTGAATTCGATTTTGCCAGGTAGAAATCTTTTGATTTCTCTTTTGTTTTTTTTTTTAAATTTCTTTTTTATTTCTTTTTTGTAGTTAATCCTCCCTAAATAATGGAATTCTTATCCACGACTCATCTCTCCAACACAAGTAGCCGTTCGCAAACGTTTCAATTTATTTGACTACCCTATCTTCAACCCCAGTAATTGTTCAGTTCCCCTTTCAACCCCCAATAAGAAAATTATAAATTATTAAAACTTAAAAATATTAGAAAAGAACCATATTGGAAGAATAATTCTCGGACCAAACAGCACCAGAAAGGGTGAATAAAGAACAAAAAGGATAATAGAAATAGAAGAAGCAATAAATGGATACAACAGTGTAAAAGAGCGTCTGTGATAACCCTTGAAATTAATAACTAATTAAATTGATGATGCCGTATTTTAAGTTACACATAAAGCTTCTTTGAAACTTCCTCCCTCCTTCTCATATTGACGTAGCGATTAAGATGTTGATCATTAATGTTATAATAACTTCCATTATAGTTGTTGGATGTCTGGTTAAAAGTTGTCAAATTTCAATAATTGCCATATTGTAAGTTGCATTACAATTAAAAATTTCTAATCTTCACCAAAATCATGTAATTTTTTATCTTTCTGCATATAGTAATAACAAGTTAATGACGTTAAGTAATAATTTAAGTACAGTAATTACAAAATTAGCATAAACAATGTAAAATAAGACATGCAGTACAGTTAACAAAATCTATTAGCTTCATTCAGCTCGTAAATCGTGGAAATCCAAAAGATCAATTATAGAAAGTGTGTAACGAGCATATTTCTTCAAAGATAATTGTTAGGAAGAAATGTTTGTCTTCCCATAATAATTCCACCACTCGGCCGATCAGTTTCCTGTGTATTGTTATCTAAATATCTTTGAAACGCAACTCCATCCACTATTGTTTGTTTGTTTGTTTATGTATATATGTGTATATGTAAAAATCATGTCCAAATTTAGAAACTTTCACCAGCTACCTTATACATCATGTAGGTATCTCGAATTGATATTCATAGACCAGGAAACTACATAAAGTAATATCTATTGATTTATTAGCTAACCAAGCATAAGCAATAATATTCAGAAATGTACTATTAGAACAACTGGTATTTACTATCTTCACTTGATCCCATCCTTGACTCGGTCTCTTCAGGACTTTCTTAGTTTAGTTTTTTGTGTTCTGAGCCTTGTGAGTACTGGGTTAATAGGGCAGTAGTTCGGGCAGACTCGTAGATATTCGTGAAGTAAGAAAAAGACAAGGGTGGATGACAGAAGAAATACTGAGACTTATGGACCAAAGAAGAGAAGTAAGAAATAAAAATAAAAACGAATCAGGCAGAAGATGAGACACGCGAAAAAACAATTTCATAGTAAAGAATGTAATGAAATTGAACAATATGAAAAGAAACACGATACATTTCATCTGCACAAGAAATTAAAAGAGGTCGCTGGAAACAAACGGAAACAAGTGTCCCAAAGTTTAGAAGACAGAAACGGACACAGAATATTAGACATTAATGAACAGTTAAAAGAATGGGAAAACTACATTTCTGAATTATTTGAAGATGAAAGAGTAGAACACTGTACTGCGATTGCTATATCAGGTCCAGCTATAACAGAAAGTGAGGTTACACGTTCAATAAAAACGGCAAAAAATGTAAAAGCACTTGGCCCCGATGAAGTAAGTGCTGAAATACTAAAGTTTTTAGGAGAAAATGGAATTAAAGCTCTGTGTAATCTCTTTAACAGAATTTATGACACTGGGATATTACCAACTGATTGGTTAAAGTCGACATTTGTCACAATACCTAAGAAACATCGTCCAAAGATATGCGGTGATTATTGGACAATAAGTCTGATGAGTCACGTTTTGAAAATCTTCCTGCGAGTAATACACAGCAGAATTTACACGCTGTTAGAGTACAGAATTAGCAATACTCAATTTGGGTTTAGGAGTGGTTTTTTGGGTACAAGAGAAGCCTTGTTTAGTATACAGGTGCTAGTACAGAGATGCAGAGATATAAATCAAAATGTGTACATTTGTGCAATCGATTTTGAAAAGGCTTTTGACAAAGTCCGACATAACAAAATGCTAGAAATATTGGAAACAGCTGGATTGGACGATAAAGATCTACGAATAATTACAAATCTATACTGGCATCAAGTGGCAAGAATAAAGGTTGAACAAGAACTGTCGGATGAAATAAATATAAAAAGAGGAGTGAGACAAGGCTGTATATTGTCGCCTTTACTTTTTAACTTATATTCGGAGGAAATATTTAAGACCTTCAAAATCTAATGAACAAAATAAAACAGACTTGTGATCAGTATGGATTAAAACTCAACGTTAAGAAAACTAAATATATGATAGTTAGCAAACAAAATTATATACAGGATGACGGTATAAAAGTCGGAGATGCCACACTGGACAGAGTAGAGAAACTCGTGTATCTCGGCAGTAATATCAATGAGAGCTGGGATCCAACCGCAGAAATTAAAAGCCGAATAAAACAAGCCCGAACTGCCTTTGTAAAAATAAGAAACGTACTTTGCAGTCACGATCTTACCATTGACCTTAGAGTTCTTGCTACATCTTTCCTGTCCTGCTGTACGGAGTGGAAGCGTGGACTATAACTGAGGCTATCCTTAAACGCTTGACAGCCTTTGAGATGTGGGTATACAGACGACTACTGAAAATAAGCTGGGTCGACAGGGTTAGAAATAAGGAGGTCCTTAGACGGCTGAACCAAACAACACAACTGGTCAATATAATAAAGAAACGCAAGCTGGAATACTTCGGTCACATTATGGGACCCCTGAAAAATATGATCTTTTACATCTGATCATTCAGGGAAAGATCCAAGGTAATCGTGGTCCTGGTAGAAGTACAACATCATGGCTGAAAAATCTAAGGCAATGGCATGGAAAACCAATTACATCGTTATTAAGAGCGGCTGTCAATAAAGTCACGATAGCGAATATGGTAGCCAACATAATATCCAACGATCGATAACGGTCATGGAACTAGAAAAAGTAGATATTCCATGTTGTGCATTGCTCCGAAATTAAATTTTTAAATAATAGTTGTCGTTGGTTGATAATTGTTGTATGAGTTAAAAGTT